ATCCATATACTTTATGTCAAGACTTCTTAGGGACTGATTGTGAGCCACGAATGCAGACAAGTGTTGATTGTTATCATAGTTTGAATAGTAATTCAATTGGCATTTAAGCAAATTCTTGGCCAATAGTGGACCGGAAGTGCTCTTAAAGACATTGAATAAGCGATCGACTGTTAAGTGAGACAATCGGTGGCAATGAGTGAGCGCTTGTCTGTACGCGTCATCGGATTTGTTGTCATCGGATGTGTTGTCACCGATTCGTGTGATCATTGGCCACAATGTATGCATTGTTTGTCCACTCATTTTCGATACATTGCAGTAAATGTCTCGAAGATTATGACAATTGTCTCGAAATGTTTTCATAGCTTTAGGAATGTATGCATTGTGTGAACGCATTCCTCGGCAGTCAATGGTCTCAATGTTCGGACACTTTATGGCAATTGTGGCCAACAATTGAGTGTTAATTGTCTTCCCATTTGTCAGTAATCTCTGCATTAATTCATCGCTAAGAGTGATGTCCACAACACTCCCGAAGACAGTCCTCTGGAACTGTTTGGACACACATTCCAATCGAAACCGATCTCCGAGTGAGAGATAAGACACTATAAGTGCACACAAATCATCACCGAATCGATCCAAAGAGTCTTTTGCGTAGATTTGTGGCTAAATTATGAGATAATAACAGTTAGTATTCAATAAACAGTCAATTGTTTGTCAAATACCTGTTGTTTGATGTCTTCATTGCCGTCATCTCTGGTCTCGAGTGATGTCTTCAAGTGTTTCATCTGTTGTGTCATATCTTGGGATCAAATGAAGTGATTGTATGAATGGTTTGATTGAAAACACAAACAATAACTGAATTCTCTTTTCAAATGAAACACTAATAACGTCTCGAATATAGACTTGTGTTTCAATCAGAGTATAATTGACCAATCAGAGAGGTGCCTGTTGACCTGGTGAGTTTTGAATGAAGGTAGAGTTGCCATTGGGTTCAATGTAATATATGCATATATTATTGCATATAAATATGGCATTGAAATGTGACGCAAAATTATGTTACGTATGCAAAATTAATAAAAATTACAAATGGAGATAGTGTTGTGTGCATCAAAACAACAATTTATTCAGCATATCTGGTATTTAAATCTAAATAATATAAATATATCCCTGCAAAAGCTGCTAATCTGATTGGCTCTCCCCGTCTGTCTCCCTATACTTTCCCCCATTGGGTGTAACCATTTTGTGTTTGTAAGCATGTATTAAATACATTCTGATGCAATGCATTCAATACATGCAATATAAAGCAGGGTAGACAAAATGAGTGGCTCAAATGACCTCGTATATAAATAAAATTAATGAAATTTTGTATCAATGTAACGTTTTATAAGTATTTTTGTATTAAATAAGGACATAGTTATTTATTAACGTCCGAAATTAACGATATTTTAGCTAAAAAATTAATTTTTTTAAACGATATTTAGTAATTTTTAATAGAAACGCATTTAGTTATATACAAAAATAGTTACAATATGTGATAATAATTATGTATTTTTGGATTGTTTATTAATAACAAATTGAAATAAACACATTGTTTTAAGAATAATATTGATGATTTATTTTTCAAACTATTTTTAATGATTTTATGAATGTTTTATTCAATAATCTGAGTTGTAACTATTTTAAACTGTTATATGAAAAATAATAACATTTTGACATTTTTAATTTATTAGAAACACAACACTGTGAAATAATATTTTAAAATCTGGTCACTCTAAATTTGGTACTACCACCTAGGTGCCATTTGGTGCGAACCAGCAGTAGTCTTACTGCTAAAAAAAAGCCAGGTTTCAATTATTGAATGTTTTCTACAAAAAGTGAACACAAATTGTATAACAAAACTATATAACAGTCCGTATAATAGGAGTACAGTTTGTATACAATTGTTGTTCAAATAGTTTGAATAAACTTAATATTACAATACAGTCAACACTCGTTATTACAATACAGTCAACACTCGTTATTATTTCAAACGAATATTTGAGTTAAATTAATGAATGAGACGTTGAATAGGATTAAAATAATTATGATTTTTAAGTTAAATATTTATTTCATGAATAAATTGAACAAATATTTGAAATTAGTTGTAATTTAAATACAATTAAAATCGTATTAAAAGTAATTAACACAACTTTCTAAAAAAATGACATCAATTTTTTTAATGGTCAAAAAGTTAGACAATACTGTTTGTAAAGCATTAAAATATGATTAAAATTTTATATAATTAAAATTATAATTAAAATGTTAATAAAATTTGTGAAACATTTGCAAAAATTAATATATTATAAGTCAATTAAATTAAGGGTAATATGTTTTGATTAAAAAGACAATAATTTAAAAACAATTCATTTCAATGTTTGAATTAATAAAACATATATTATATTAGGTTTGACTGAGAAGTAGTGAACACTCGACTAATGCCATGAAAATGTAAAGTGAAAGCCAAACACTAATCAATGTTTAGTAATTAATATTAATTAAATTCATGCAAAATTGCGGAAACCATTCACACAATACGTAACGCGATTAGTGTGAATAGAGGGGAGGGGTGAGGGGGTCGTCATGGAAGCGGTGATGCGGTCAAAGAGGGTTAGGGAGGGGAGGGGTCGGTGTCGTCGTCAGAATCGAGTTCAATGAGTTCAATGGATTCGTTAGCGTCGGTGCGGAACGTGATGGGCGTCCCAATTGGCGGACCACTAGTCGATGGTTCAGGCCTTTCAGTGGAAGTGTTGGCGACATTAGTGTCTGAGTTAAGGTCGATGTCGACGATCCCATTGTTCGGGTCGTAAGCGCTCTTCAAACGGAGATCAATCTTAAATTTCTGTACACTATATTTGGGGTGAATATAGAGATCCGCTTTCGGGCTGAAGTACTCATTGGTCCGCTGGCCGTAGCCGAGGGCACCCGACTCGCCGATACCATCGCCCTTCGAGACGGCGTATATCTCCTCGTTCTTGATATAGATCTGTCGCTCGACCACTGCTTTCTCCCTCTCCTTACCGCTCGACTCGCGAAACACCAAAACAGTCGACTTGTGCTCCAATTCGCACTCATCGATGGTCTGCATGTCGTCAAGAGTTGTGCCGCCGTTGTTGGCCACCAGTCGCTGTCGGCCGGCACTGATTGACGGCCGGCACCGGTCGGCGATGAGTCGCTTGAGCTCAGCGACGGTTTGGTTGCGAGCGATTGTAATCCACTCAATCTTTTTCGACTTTTTAACCCTAACCTTAAGCGCGATTCGTTCGGTCGGGTCCTTACGGCCGCCCCCTCTGGGCTCTTCAGTGCAGCCCTTATTACCCACGCATTTGCCGAACGATACATCGAAACCGATGTCATTGGAAAAGAGATAGTGGTGTTTGGGTCCACCTCTCCGGCCGGGAACACATCGCTATACGTCTGTCCATTCGGCCGATTGGGTGTCAGAAAGCGGAGTCGATAGCCGTTGTCGTCGAGTGTCGTGAAGGTGTGGCGTTTGCCTCTCTTGACAACAAACTTACGCAACCCGTCGTACGCCATCTCCAGCCAGAGGTCAGCCTTTAGTGAGTCATTGCGGACCTCAATCTCCAAGTCGTGGTCGCCGTCATCGAAGAGCGCCGCGAAGACCTTCTCATCGGCGCCGGCCATCAGTTCCGTCAGTTCCACTCGTTTGCGAATATCGTCGGCGACTACTGTTCGCACCCATAGCTTAAAGTCGATGGACTTCGAGTCCGTGGCGATCAATATCTTATTGTTGTCACCGATGGTGGGCTTTAGCTGACGCGGCTGTGCGGGAAAAGTGTGGCAAACAATGTATGGCTATTGGCGTCAACTGTCAGGTCACGTGTTGTACAATACCTTCATTTTATTGGCCACCGATTTGGTGACTCTTCGCGGCCGACGACTGGCGCTACGAGTTTGATTGGACGCACTCTCACTGACAGCACTTCCAACGTCTGCCTCGATGTCGGCTTTGCGGTCATTGTCTCCGCTTTCACTAATGGCCACCACTTCCATGGCATCCATGGTTTGTATCGTATCGTTGTCTCTGTCGCCGACATTCACCGCATTGTCGGCCATCACTTGATCACAGGTGTGGCTGTCGTTGTCTTCGGTGGCCATCGCCTCGTCGTTACCCAACGTATCCATTGTCTCAACACTTGGTTTGTTATCAACAATACTGTCGGTCAGACAAATAGAGAGCACATGGTTTTGATGGACGTTCGCAAACATTTGTAACCATTCATTATTGTCAACGCATAGAGTGTTGTGTATAAAAAGTAACAAAATATGTCAGCATTTGTGTAAATTTACTTTACTCTTGCAATTCAGTCCATTCACATACAACGTTATGATTAAGATTAATGCAGTTTAAAAAGTTGATTTAAATATACAATTAAATCAATGATTAATGAATACACGTATAGATTAATGTATAGTTTTACAGCTATTTGTGGTGTAATTAATTAATTTAAACATTTCATACATTTAACTTTAATTGTAAACATTTTTGATATACATTTTGAACAAACATTAATTCATCAAAACTGGAAGTCATAGACATTTATTGCCGGCCGATAACCGATAGTGTATTGAATTCATTATCAAAATTACCACAAATACATACCATTAGACTCTATGGTAGCCATGAATTCACACATTTAAATACAATTATCGCATAATAAAGAAATGAAATTTTATTTATGAAATGAATTGAAAAGTTTTATAGTTATTTGAAAATTGAATATACAAACATCAAAATTAAGAACAAAATATTTTAATTATAATTTGTAATCATTGTTATTAGAAATGTTTAAAACTTGTTTTTCAAATGAACACAACTTTTGTGACGATTTAAATGTCTTTGATTTAAAACTTTTGTTACAATCATTGAAATCACAATTAAATGGCTTTTCGTATGAATGCGAGAGTTTGTGTTGAATTTAGTCATTGTTTTTCTGAAAAACATCTCAATTCTCTTCATTACATTTGAATTGCTTTTCGTTCAAATGAACACAACTTTTGTGTCGATCTAAATCTCCCTTTCGTTTAAAATATTTATTACAATCATTTAAATCACATTTAAATGGTTTTTCTCCCGAATGAGTACAGCGTTTATGTGCATAAAGTGTTGAGTTATTTCCAAAACGTTGGCCACAATTTTCTTCATCGCATTTGAATGGCTTTTCTTTCAAATGAACACAACTTTTGTGTTCAAATAAAGAGTATTTTCTTGAGAAACTTTTGTTGCAATTATTGAAATCACATTTGAATGGTTTGTATCCCAAATGCAAGCGTTTGTGTTGTAATAGATTTGAATTCAGACCAAAACTTTTGCCACAATTTTCTTCATCGCATTTAAACGGCTTTTCTTTCAAATGAACACAACTTTTGTGTTGAACTAAATATTCTTTTGTTGAAAAACTTTTGTTACAATTATTGAAATCACAAACAAATCTTATATTTAAATGAATGGTATTTTTGTGATCAATTAACTCGTGTTTTGATGTAAAACATCTAGCACAATCGTTGAAATCACACCTAAATGGTTTGACCGTCAAATGTGTGCTTTTGTGAACATTTAAATGATATCTTCGGCTAAAATTTTTACCACAATTTTCTTCATTACATTTAAATGGCTTTTCATTCAAATGAACGCAACTTTTGTGTTGAAGTAAACTATGTTTTGTTACAAATGTTTTGTTACAATCATTAAAATCACATTTAAATCGTTTACTTAAATGACTTCTGCTTTTGTGTTCAACTAAATGGGATCTCTGTTTATAACTTTTTTCACAATTAGTATAATCGCATTTAAATTGTTTTATTCCTTCATGAATTAATTGATGTATTTTTAAACTATTTTTATATATAGTTTTAAATTCACATTTAGGCCAAAAACAGTGGAAATATTTGCTATTAATTGTATTATTTTTTAAATTATTTAAACCACAAGCAAATTTCTGATTTAAATGAATGTCATTTCTGTGTTTATTTAAATTTGATTTACGTTTAAAACTCTTATTACAGTCATTGACATCACATTTAAATGTTCTCATTTGTGAGTGAATTATTTGATGTTCACT